AGCTTATAGTGACAGACTGATGCTCCTTCAGATCACCAACAGGGATATTAATGCTGGGACTCCAAGGAGAATCTGAGGTTTTAAATGGAGCACACAAAGGATAAGGTATTAGAGTGTTTTCAAACACACACAGACCATCTGAAAATCTTTTAATATTTGGGAAATGCAGTAAAATGAAGCATGTTTTTAAATTTGTATATATTCAAAATCTGTAGACTGGGATTAGATTGGGTTTAGATCCCCATAGGTGCTGCAGCGTTCAAAAGTGCAGCTTGAAGTTAAATAAGGAAATGACCAGTTGGCTACCTACAACACTGTTGATGTGATTATAATATTTAAAGGACAACGCATGTCCAACAATATTAAACAACACATAACTCTACATTGACGCGGTGCATCAGGGTTGTGAGGTAGGTTCCCAGAGGGAATTTGTTCCTCCTCTTATTCTGTATTGCAGTTTCTGCAGGGTGAGCTTTTTATACTTTCTTCCTCTTACTTTACCTCTTAACAGATACGTGCAATTTAAAGTATTCCATATCTTCTCTTTGAACTATCGCTGTGTTCCTTGGTCTTTATAGTGCTATTGATCACTTATGTTCTATAACAAACCTTACAAAAACAGGTTTTTATGTAAGTATTGCAATAGCATGTATATCAAATATAAGGATAAAAAGAACTGGATATAAATGCACTTCACATCTTACATAATATCAAACACTTTGCAGGGATTTCCTTTTATTTTACATTTATGCACTATTTTGTGTTAGTTTGTGAACATAAATCCGAATTATTAATACTGAAGTTCCTGATTGTAAAGTGACACAGTGATGAGGGATTTTAAAAGGATATTCATGTAAATAAAACTGCTATTTAATCAATTAAAAAAGCTGATAACTGATAATTAAAAAGTCTACACTAATTTATTTCTTCTAAAACTAATTAATTTTGACTGCATTTTTTCAACAGAGGCAGGAAATGTATTTGTTGAGGAATTATATTCAAAAGTGATTGTCTCTTTAATCAACTTTTTAAATAGATGGGAATTAATGCTGACTGGTCATAAATTGGGAAGTAAAACAGTTTGATGGTGCTTGTCTTACCTTTAACTGTTATATAAAGATGATCTTTACAACCTGTCGCCTTGAATGGTCCATTTTCAATTCTGAAGAAGTATTTGTCTGCATGTTTTTTCCTTACATCAGGAAACACAGTGGTGCAGTTTTCTTCATGCAGGTTTCCAGTTATTTTCAGGGGGTAGGTGTTAGCTGAGTTACTGCTATTAAAAATAATACGGTTTGGATTGACAGCAAAATCTAAGTCATGTCTCATCCAAACGCCAGAGATGGGTTTGCTGTGGTCAAGCTGTGCATCTTTTAAAGAAAATTTACATGGTATTTGCAAACAAGATCCACTGAGAGCTTCATTGTTCTTTGGTGCAGTTATCTGGATGCCTGGCTGTCTTAAACCACAATGACGACTCAGCTTCAACTGATTAAAATCGAAAGCACCTGCAAATATAAAGTAATAATAACCATTTTGTGGATTGAATTTCTTCTAAAGTTAAAGGAAATTAATAAACAGCTCACCTGAAGGTACAAAGACAACCAATAACACAGTGATGGTCAGCACCTTCTCACACAGAGCTGCCATTGTATTCAGACAGTCCAACTGCATGAAAACAGTTGCTGGGAGTTTGTGGTGTTGTTAAACCTGAGTTGAAAGAAGACATTTATAAAAAGTTTCAGTTAATGTGCCATATATAGAAAGGGTGGCTTTTTTCAACCTTCGTAAAAGCAAAATTGTAATATATATAATTAATACTTTGTTTTAGCAGAACTTAGAAAATAAATACAAATGAGATGAAGAATTGTTTTTGTAAGTTAAATGTAAAGATCGATGTTGTTCACTTACCATATAATCTGACGCTAATGAAGACGTTTTTTACCAAATAATTTGCTGATTTTAGAGGATTAGAAGCAGTTCAAGCAGCTTTGGCTGTGAGGAAGGAAATGTAATGAGAAACTCTCTTGTTAGAGAAGTTCTCATGTTAAATGTTCTGTGAAAGAGGAAGCAATTTCGGGGATAGCATTATATATTTCATAGTTGTTATCACTTAGCTAAGGATGGTCTAAGTATGTCTTTTTGGTGCTGTACTAGAAGACTGAAAATTAATAAATTAAAAATGTAGAAAGTATTTTTGGTACATTTTTCAGTGTTGATTTATGTGGTTATTTCTTACTTCTGTGAAAAAGCCTTCATGCAAATAATACAAGACTCCGTGTGACGGTGATGAAGAAATGTCTTGCGTTATAGCAGAGCAGTGATGTAACATGGGATTCCACAGAACCGGCAAACAAAATTCCCCTTTTAACTTCTCAGCTCTGCTCAATATTTGTGAGTATTTTAAATCAGTATTGCTGCTTCTCTGTGCAAAATAGATCTATTTTTCCTATGATGTAGACTTCTTTATGGTTTCCGTACTTTCAAATTGAGAATATTTTAAAAATGTCTTGATTCATGTGTTCTAAATAACTGAGGGAATCATCTCCAAAAATAGCTGTTTCCTTAAATTATGAGCATTTATTAACCATGATTTTCAAAATAATTTTTCAAGAAATTGGTGTTAGGCATTTTCAGCATCCAATCAGAAGAATTTGTTTTGCTTCTTATAGCAGTCAAATACAGGAGAAAACAATTCGATGTTGCAAGATTTCTTACATAAGCAGTGTTAACATTCTAAGAAAATACTACTTCCTCAATAATAACTCAGATATTCTGTTAAAAGTATGTCATTATTTCTAAAGCCTAAATAACTGTTACAGAAACATACAAACACAGAGCTGTTTAATATATGCAGTCCACATTACTTTAGTGAGCTATAATGTTATATAGATCATCTGATCCTCTGCTTTTCTGTTAAAATGACTTAATCCCAATAACATCAACCTGCAAAAAGTAGACACTCTTGTTAAAGGATATTTCATGTTTAGGTAGCCAGCCACTGACATCTCTCACATTCATTTACAGTGGAACGTATGTCAGTGACTGTCAAGTGCTTTTCAATAGAGATATCAATTCAATGCAGTTTATTTATATAGCGCCACTTCATAACATGTAATCTTAGGGGCACTTTACAGTTCACCAGATCATCCACTCAAATTGATTCAAAGTTTTCTATCTAAGGAAAACCAGTTGATTGCATCGACTCCTTGACTCGAATGCAATCCCTCTTTTAGTGACAGTGGAGAGGAAAAACTCCCTTTTAACAGGAAGAAACATCCAGCAGAACCAGGCTCAGTGTAAGCGGCCATCTGCCGAGGCCGACTGGGGTTTAAGGAGACAGAAGCAGAGATACAAAAAGTAGCTGAAAAAGGCGGCCCCTTCCAGGAAAGACATAGCCAGGCAGACGAGCTCCGAGCCAGCTCCCATGTCAGAGGATAAAGAGAGCACATCCAGCCAGTCACGGTCAGAGAAACAGGACCACACTGGAGAACAGGCCGATCTCCAGCATCTATAAACAAGGGTGTTGATGGAAGCAGCACAGCTGATATTTCTCTCCAGGATGACGTCACAGCCAAACAGGAACAGACGAGGCAAAGCTACTATGACAAAAAGCAGAGAGAGCAGAACGTTAGAGATTGAACTAATAGATTCTGCAGAGTAGGAGAATAGAGATAAAATGAAGCAGAATGATGAAATGGGGGTTCCTATGTCCTCCAGCAGTCTAAGCCTATAGCAGCATAACTACAGAGATAGCTCAGGATAACCTGAGCCATTCTAAATATAAGCTTTATCAAAAAGGAAAGTTTTAAGTCTACCCTTCAAAGTAGACAGGGTGTCTGCCTCACGGACTAAAACTGGTAGTTGGTTCCACAGGAGAGGAGCCTGATAACTAAAAGATCTGCCTCCCATTCTACTTTTAGAAATTCTAGGCACCACTAGTAAGCATGCAGATTGAGAGCGAAGTTCTCTGTCAAGTTCTCTGTTATTTTAAATTCTATTCTTGATTTAACAGTAAGCCAATGATGAGAAGCTAGGATAGGAGAGATATGATCTCTCTTTTTAATTTTCCGCAAAGAGAATATGTTGATCATATTTATGATGGCAAATATGCTAAATAGACAGCTTGTGCTGTTTTGTTTATGTTACAGACATAAAATGATTTGCACCTGCAAATTTGCAAAGATTATAAAGTACTGGTTTTTATCCAGGAAAACATTTTAAAGATGAAGCCAAACATGGAAAAAAGCTTGTCCAATTTTGTAAGTTACTGCAGAGGAAGTTGCAGATCCCAGTTTGGCATTTCTTTTCTAATCAAAGAACCCATAAGAAATACTGACATACAGAGTTTTTGAATTGGGGTTACTTATTGCTGCCTTGGTTTTAAACATGCCAAGCTGACTCTTGTATCAACAATATTTCATGATTGAATGCCCTTTAACAAAAAGTTTGGTAGAAATTCACCAGAAAATTCCCAGACATACTCTGGAGCTAAAAAAAATGGGTGACAAACTTATGTTACAACTTTCTTATGTTTTTGATGAATCAGCTTGAGGTGGAATATGCATTAAATTTCTCTTTGGGAACAATAAAGTATGTTAGAATTTAATCGAATGAACTGCAAAGGATACCTGTAGACAACTATAAATTAGAGCAATTAAGTTTGCATGACATCAAACACCAGTGTCTTTAGCACGTCTGTCTGTCTGTCTGTCTGTCTGTCTATCTATTTCTCCATATAGCCAAACATTTGATCGTTCCATAGTTCCCTTGTGGCGCCAGCATAGGGCGGCTGTTACGCTCCTTCATATCACCTTTTCTGCCGCTTGCGTGGTGCAGAGATGCATTGGAAACCGTATCTGATGGGGGAACGTGGCTCGATTTAACACCTGTTACTCATTGGACATGTGATCCCAACACTTAGAAACAGTTCAATCTCAATAGAGGAAAAAAAATGTTCAGGAATATCCAGATGATTAGGTTTTAATTCATTATTAACCCTCTACATTTGCAAGCTGCAGATATGACTTAGGTTAAATTAAATTAGAATTTACTAGTAGATTTAATGTTGAACATTAACATTAAATTTACTGAAGGTTTAAAGACACTAATTTTATGTATTCATCGTTTATCAGGAAACTTGTAGACATAAATAGCCTTTTTTAATTTCATGTGGACAACATGGTAAACATTCATATTTAAAAACCTCTTCATAAAAAAAATTCTGAAGCACATTGATGATTTTTTTTTTTTTATTTATGTCACAGTCTTGGTTCTGTTAAGTTTTCTTTGAGTTTTCAGTTTCACATTGATTCGTGTTTTTCTTTGTTTCCTAGTTTTATTGGTTTAATTCCTATTTTGTTGTGTTTTCTAGATTTATTTTTGTTTTTGCTGGATGTATTTGAGTTTTTAGGCTTTTCTTTGTTGTCCTCTTGTGTTGGTCTCCTTTTCTCTAGCTCCATTCTAGAAGCCTCTGTTCACACCTGCTCCCAATCAGCTCATTAGTCCTGCCTTTGTTCAGTCAGCCATAAATACTCTCCTTGTGGAGTTCTACAGTGCTGGTTCCTCATCTTTCCCTGGCTCCTCATTCATTTTTTCCCTGATTACTCTGGTTTGTACGCATTTTTTTGTGTTGGATTTTTGGATTCCTGCCTTGTTTTGCATTTTTATGTTGGGATTTTAGATTCCTGCCTGTTACCTGTTGTGAACACTCCATTAAAACTATAAGAACTCACCTCTGCCTCCCTGCCTCTGCATTTGGGTACTCACAACCTCAACCAAACCCTGACAACTTATGCTGGTAACTAAGATGTTGCATTAGTATAAGATAATACAGTTTGTCTTAACTGTTAAATAGTTTTTAATTGTGTTTATACAAAAACAATCCTTCGTGGAACAGTTTGTCCAATAAACAAAGTATTTTATTATTGCACAGCTGTAAAAAGTCTTCCAACAGAGTTAACCCTATTTCTTGTTCATTGCTCCATTTTGTTTTTTGCATCAGACATGTCTATGTGATGTTGTAGATCTAAAAACCAAACAGTCAAAGATTAAAGGGGATTGTGATGCATAAGCAACAGCAATGAACAATGCAAAACAGAATGTAGGTAAATATGTACATTAAATTGTGGTTTTCATGTAAGATCTGAATGATCTTTGAAAAGCAAAACCTAGTAATGGACACTATAATTCAGTCTGGTTTTTAATGAAATATTGTGAAAAGGTAAAGAAATTGTGATGAAATGTAACAGCAATGGGGACATATTGGGTCAAGGGCAGACAGAAAAACATTAACTGATTTAAAACAATGTAAAGATGAAACTGAGGACATAGAAAAAACGTAACAACATGTTACAATACCATTAGAATGCATTCATTTATGGTCATATTGTAAGAGAATACATTTAAAATTTGAATGAAGACCTTGAAAATTATAACTGCAATTAAAAAGAACACCACCCCTTAATTCTTCCTTTATTCATTTAAACAGAAATTCAGGATTAATCTAAAGAGTTGTAGAATATTTGCACACGTTTGCTAATGGAAAAGGGGTAATGGAAGGAGATATAACCGAACAGTATAAAATAATCCAAAGTTAAACATGTTTGTTGTAAATAATGTGCTTCAGTGCTTTATCATTGGACTTTCAATAAGTAGTGCTTCAAATGAAAGAAAACTTTGCATGTTTCCAATCTCCTTTTGGGTCTGGATGATGATGATGCCTTCACCCCCTTTGGACTGTTTATATTTTCTAGTTCTTCTGTCCTCTGCTAACATAAAACAAAAAAGTGGCTCAAATATCTTTAAAGGAAAATATGAAACCTTTTGTCTACCTTTGGGCATTTATTCCAATTTCTTTATTCAGACTGAACTATAATGATGTTACTTCTGCACTTATTGAGAAAACTGTGTAAGGTGGTTTTTTTAACATTAATGTTCAAATCACATATATTGTCTATTGAAGGGGAGGTGAAATCTACAGAGAACATTTGTACACCCACCAATGAGTCTAGTAATGCAATAGTTATCCATAAAAGGAATCATTGCAGAAAGACAGGGGAGTCCAGTCGTAGCTGGAATATGGTTGTAGTTGAAGCACTACTAATCTGGTAATATTCAAAATATTTAAAATGTTTAAAATGATACGAAGTGTATCGTATCCACAAAATATTTTAAAATTGTTTCATTCATCTCTTTTCTTAAAGCTAAGAACAATTTCCTTGCATAAAAACTGTGAAGTATGTCTAGGCAACGGAGATAAAACAAAAAGGTACCAGCAAATGATTATTAAAGCATCAGAACATAAGATCTGTTATTTAAAGTTTAAGCAGATATCGGTAAATCACTGCAGAAGTTGAAAGACCAGAGATGCAGATATTTATACCTTATCAGAGCAGCTTCCTCTTCCATACCAATGCATCTACCTCATCTCCTTTACAATTGTTTTATCCTTGCCATATCCTGATTTCAGGATAAGCAAAGAACCTTGGGGTTGCATCTAGCTCAGACATCTTTACAGAAATGACCAAAACCAGGGACACGATAAACAACTGGCAGAGTCAGGAAGAAAAATTGAAAACTTATACACAAAGGCTTCATGAAAATGAAACAGGAAAGATTAATGAAGTTCAGCTAAAACAATATCTTAAACAGAAGAGAAAGAAAAACCTGCACAAAAAAGCTGAAAGTCAATGCTTAAGATTTAGAAGCCCGAAATTACAAAAGCTGGCTTAAATGAGTGGAACAGGAAAACCAAAACAAATAGAAAACTAAAAGAAAAAAAGTGTGAATAAAATGTCGGTGGCATTTTTTGGGGTGTAAAAAGTCTTCACCACAGAGATAAAAACATGTTAATTCTGAGTTAGAATATACACACAGAGGATCTTAACCAGGAGAAAAAAAATAATGATGTTGAAGCATATTAAACATCATATACCAACAGGTAACAGAGAAAATTAGGTCTTACATCGAATGGATCATTCCTTTATGTCACAGAATTAAAATTCCCAGGGTCACTAATGATATGTGGATCCATGCTGCAGACAGTCGAGTACCTTTAACAAGACAGGATGTTCAATCTTTCATTTACAAAGAATATTTGGAATACTTTTCCAATATAAACTGATCTTCTGATTATTTTGACTATTTATCTCACAAACTATAATCTTTACAGATTTATTAAATATTGACAAACGATAAACTCTTAAGACTAGCAAATAGCATAATATAATTGGTTTTGCAGGTTTTTAAGGCAGACCCCCCCATTTACCTGTATTTAAATGAATCATTGATGATGTCTGATTACCAAGATCATTCATAGAGACGCAGTAATATTCTCCATCCTCGGTAACTGTGAAGCTGTAAAAGTCCCCTGTAGCTACTTCTCTGGCTCCATGTTTGCTGTTCCTGAACCAGGTGAAGCTGGCAGGAGGCTTGGCTCTGCTGGAGCAGCTCAGCTCCACCCAGCTACCTGCTGACACCAAACCAGATGGACTGACGGATGCTGAGGTGTTTCTAGGAGCATCTGAGGAAAATTGGACACACATTAACTTTATTGATCAGAAACAGCTGAACCATGACGTGCTGACAGGATCACTAACATGAAACACTGAGAGTCACTTCTGTCTCTGCTGTCTTGCTTCCTCCATTCACAGGATATCTGGCAGAACAGCTCATGTTGTATCCATCATGTGTGTCTGACAGAGTGATGGTCTCCTGGATTTTAGTTGTAAAGTTTCCATCTGTGTTTTTCTCTGTTTGTCTCTCAGAGTCTTGTTGGAGATTCCAGGTGAGTTCAGGAGGTGAGTGTGGACAGGGAGTCACAGCTGAGCAACTTATAGTGACAGACTGATGCTCCTTCAGATCACCAACAGGGATATTAATGCTGGGACTCCAAGGAGAATCTGGGAGTTCAAATTAGACACAAATTTAGGAAAATATTTACATAGACATCCTATGTATGTGTCAGCAGATTAATGCATGGATATAAAATAAAGCAGATTCTGGATGCAGAGATCCACATTTGTTGTAATGAAATTAATACACTCATTAAAACATATATCCTCACAATATAGGTGACCTAATAAAAAAATATTTACCTTTTACCTGAAGACAAATATATGATGACATCTCAATACCTAATGGATTTTTAGCCTCACAGTAATACTCTCCTCCCTCAGTAACAGTGAAGCTGTAAACCTGCCCCACAGATACATTAATGGCTCCATGTTTGCTGTTCCTGAACCAGGTGAAGCTGGCAGGAGGCTTGGCTCTGCTGGAGCAGCTCAGCTTCACCCAGCTACCTGCTGACACCAAACCTGATGGACTGATGGATGCTGAGGTGTCTTTAGGAGCATCTGAGAAAAAATATTTATTTATTTGAAGATCATTAAAAGAGCGATAAATCAACACAAGACATAGGTGAGATATAATTGCTAGTACAGCTCTTTAAAAGTTGAAACAAAGAATTATCATCAATCATAGTTCACCTAAAAATTGTAAAATGTTGACTCCTCTAATTTCTGAAAACAGTTATTTAAAATATTTTAGATATTGGCATGAAACTATCAAGAATGAACTTTTTAGTAGTTAAAGTAAATGTCATTGACAATGTCACTCGTTCAAATATTCTTTGAATAATGCTATGTAACTACATGCTAATTTTGAATGCACTGACATATATGGCCCCCCCATACGAGCTTATGCCTACTATGAATATATATGTATATTCTTGTTTTTGATGTTATGATCCACTAAACTCCTCTAATTGAAATACATCTTTCAGATTTATTTTTTTGTGGGGGGATGGGGG